GAGGGCAGCTTACTTAAATCTTAATCACATCATTGTTGAGTTCTGAGAAAGCTTTGAAGTTGTTTCCAGGGTTGCTTAAAAAATTTGTGCTGCAAAGAACTGTGATCATAGTAACTCAGCAGGAAGCACTGGTAACATCTAGTTTATCCTTAGGAGGGCTGTTAAGTACTAGTCTTCTCTTTCTTTTTCTAGGAAGTGCTTTGCTTGTGGTTTAAGTTTTTCTGATGAATTTTGTTTTGTAGAATTGCTATGGAATTTGCTTTGATATTTAGTATTAGTTTAGATAAGTTAGGAGTGGCAGTGTACTCAAACAGGAATATGGATTAAAATATCAAAAATTGCCTATTTATTTCAAACCTATTTATTAATGAATTATTAAATTGTACTATAGTAGATATGAAACTCCTAACCAGCTATGACCAAAATGAGTTAGCTGTCTAATATGTGAATAAAAGTATACTCTAAATTTGGTCAATGAGTTCTTGGCATCTTTAAGTTTCAGTGACATGCTGTCTTTACAAGAAGAAAATTCAACATCTTGCAGTCTTCTGAAATGTTTATTCCGTATTAGTCTACTATATATGGTAGAATATGATCACAGACTCTTGCTCTAGACGAAACTTATCTTGTTCATTCCTATGTCTTAAGGAAGTATTTTTATACTCTTCTAAAACATTCTGACAGATAAAAATATATATTGAAATATTTTCTGAGATGATTAAATTGCATTTCTTAGTATACTGTTACAGGGTTTAGGAACTTTCACTTTGTTTTTCTTTTCTCTCATATCTTCTTATTTATAGAACATATATTTATTTTTATATGTATATTTTATACATATACATAAGATATATAAATATTTAGAATTTGGAAGTTATATCATTCCTATGTATTCCCCAGTGATCTTAGTTATGAAATGTGTTATATAGCATTATTCAAAATGCTGAGGTTAAAGTATACATACACCAAAGTTTCCAGAAAAACAGCATTATTGTTCATCTAATTAGAAATGATAATGATGTTAGAACATAATAATACTTGGAATTTCAGCAGGATGTGAGGATACTTTTTAGATTATTTAGATGTTACTGAAAATTTAATTATTTGAATGTTTTCCTATAGGAATGATGATACTCTGGTTACACAGTAGTTCCTTTAGCAGTGATTCTTAATACTTTTTTAGACAGTACCCCTGGAGGTGTACCAACTTAAATTTTGTACACAAGTTAAGGAGATTCCACATCTCTCCCATCTCCCCATTAAAAAAAAAAAAGGAAAAGAAAAAGAAGAAAGAAACAGCATGAAATTAAAAAGAGCTTTTGCATGATTTAAATAAATACTGGATTGTTTATTTGCTGAGCTTCACCAGCCTTCTAATCTAGTGATCCTCAGCAGAATGGGAGTCTAGTATATATGTGTATCAAAATCGCCTGTGAAGTTTAAAAAGTTACTTTTTCGCCCCAGCTCCTCCTCTTTAGGCCTGTGCCATCATCTGTTCTAACTAGTGTCTCCCTTTTCCTCATCACTGTTTTAACAGTGTTTAACATGTAATTTGGTTTTTAGACAGGATTTATTTACCAGGAAGAGAGTGGCCTGTTTGTCAGACTTAGGCTAATTATAGTCAAGTGTTAAATAATAATTTGGCATTTAATTAACATCTTAGTTTCTTGTGATGCTTAACAAAACTGAAGAAGTGATAAAATAAATTATTGTTCTGATATGGTACAGCTACAAAGTTGACATTGGAACAGAGGATGAAGACATTGTGCAAGGAAATTCTACCAAAAGGATGTGGCCCTATAATCCAGCATATCATTCCCTTCACAAATAATGTCTTCTCATTCTGGAAGGTATTAGCAAAAACCGGGAATGAGTGATTTGAGCAAGAATGAATTGAAACTGGAGACTACAATAGGGCATATGCTAATAACAAAGCAATCCCTACTTTTTCACAGTACTAAGAGTATGTCAAAGTTTTAGTCATTCATCCTCAAATCACAGAAGCCTGTTAGGGCACCATATTAAACAAGTTGATAAATTGCAGAATTTAAAGGTAATTTAGTAGTGCAAAGATTTTCTACTGAAGAGGAAATGCATTGCATAGAACCCGAAACTGGAGTCAGATGAACTGCCTCTTAGTTCCAATTTGTCTTTTTTCTGATTTTTACATTTTTGAGAACAGCATTTCACTTCTCTGATTCTTAGTCTGCAGTAGAGTAAGGATAATAGTATCTGCCTTGTATTTCATAGGATTATTGGGAGGATACAATTTTGATTTCATAATGTTGATTATGCCTTGTAAATTGTTAAATTTTAAGCAAATGTAAGGTAATCAATCGGCCACTTCTTTGCTTGCTAATAAGTTGGTATCATTAATTGGTCCTCCCTCTGTCTAGTGACTGTCTTTGGTGATTATATGTCTATAATAGGCTCCTTTTTATAAGGCTGTATTCCTAGAAACATCTTGATGGTTATATGTCTAGTAATTCCACAGTCATTTGTTTAGCGCCTCTAAGAAGTCAAGTACTATTGCAGGTTTGTGGAAATATAAAGGCAAACAAGATAATCTTTGCCCTGTACTTAAACAGTTTTGTTATCAGATAGATGGAAGGTAGTGATAAAACTGTGGTTGCATTACTCTTGAATATTGTAGAATTAGGTTCGTGGAACAAATGTTTTGAAAAATACAGATTAAGCATTCCTCATCTGAAAATCTGAAATTTGAAATGCTCCAAAATCTGAAACTTCTTGAGCACCAACATGATGTCACAAGTGGAACATTTCCTATATAAGTACTTAATGCAAATTTTGTTTCAAGCACAAAATTATTAAAAATATTGTATAAAATTATCTCCAGCTTATGTGTATAAGGTGTATTTGAAGCTTAAGTGAATTTTGTGTTTAGATTTGGGTCCCATTGTGTGTATGCTAATATTGTAAAGTCAGAAAAAAATTTCATTTTGGATAAGGATTACTCAGCATGTAGCATTATTTTTCAGCTCACTTCATATTGAAATGCATTATCAGACACTACCACTAAAAGTATAGAAATATTTTTATTCTGGAATTTGTTATTAATATTTTTTCTTCATATGTAACTAGCTTTTGATAAAAAATAAATATCACTGGAGAAGCATTTAACTCCTTTTTTTTTTTAGTGTATGTGTGGCTCTTGGGTATTATTGTTACCCTAATTTTACTTTTTGTAATTTATTTAAAATAAGTATAATATTAGAGCATTTTTGATTTAAAATTTGGTAGGAACTGACAAGATTGGTAAGAATTAGTAAGGACATTTCAATACATATATAGAAATAATTTTTTAAAAAAGATATAAAAGAGACCTCACAGGTCATCTTACCGGTGATTTTAAAATTCTGTTTGGAAGAGCTGTAGTGTTCTGTTGTGCTGCTGAAATGCATCGGGATCTGCTGAGGAGGGAAACTGCCTGAGGGTGTGACCTTGTGGCTTCTACATCCTCTTCCCCTTTCAACCCAAGTAGCTCCAGTATTATCATTTATATATTGATGATAGATGTATACTTTTTTCTTTAAATAATATTTATTCTTATAAAATATAAGTATATAACCAGTACTGTTCCCTCATTACGGTGACCGAATTACAGAGTACCAGAGAATTAAAGGTCACTGTAACCCTGATTTCCTAATGTCATTTTAGCACTGTTCAGTTAAATTATACTGCCTCCATGTGGCTTTAGGAATATTAAAAATGTTAGTGAGCCATTTTATATAATGAGCACTCGAGACTACATGAATCAGACATTAAGAAGACTTCATAGACAGTATTAATATGAAGACTTGGCATGATGTTTAAATGCAAGTGATTTGACGTTGGTATTTGTTTTATATATAACTTTTTTTTTTGAGTACTGGAAATGTTCATAATTGAAACCCAAATAAGTTTTTGTAATTTTCAGAGTTTGTTATTTGAGTTGTGCCCTTGAACTCCTAAAATATGTTAAAGATCACTTCTAGAGAACAGAACATGCTTCATTGGTTTCTCATATGCCATATAAGCTAAATAAACTGATTAAGGGCAGAAAATAGTTCTTATCTTTGAGTTTCTACCCGATTTCTCATTAAATGTTTGGTTAATATGTAGTTTTTTGAGTGTTTATAGAACTTTTGTTTGTTCTTTGGCATTAGAAAGTTCCCATTAGTGTCTGCCTTCTCATTTAACAATGAAATTAAAACCAAGGTGACTTATTATGATTTGTAATGACAGTTAATGAAATGAACAACTGTAATTGTGAAACAGCCTTTCTTTTTTTTTTTGGAATGCATTTTTATGTGGTCTGAGTTGTTCTGGATTTGACTTTTTGACAGGATGAATTAAGATTCTTTATTATAAAATTTAGAATTTTCTGCCATAAACATAGACCAATAACAAATTATGCTACTCTTGCTAATAACAGCAATAAGGCAATAGTAATTTAAAAAATTTAATTAATGACCTCTAGGCAGAATATTTAATGACCACCAAACCTAACGATTTTAAAAGAGTCTATTGGCCACGCTCGGTGGCTCAGCCTGTAATCCCAGCACTTTGGGAGGCTGAGGTGAGTGGATTGCCTGAGTCCTCGATTTCGAGACCCGCCCGGGCAGCTTGGCGAGACCTCGTCTCTACAATAAATCAAAAATTAGCCTGGCACGCCTGTAGTTCTAGCTACTTGGAAGGATGAGGCAGAAGGATTGCTAGAGCCCAGCAGGTCAAGGCTGCGGTGACTGGGAGCGTGTCACTGCACTCCAGTCTGGGCGACAGAGTGAGACTCCAACTCCAAAAAAAAAAAGTCTATTTAGATTCAAGAAATATTAGGGCATTGAAAACTTAGACTAGCACAGTCTACTCTTTTTTCTAAGGTCCCAGTATATTTCTCAGCTCCTGATAATTCTTTTCACAGATCTAATAAATGACAAATTGATTATTAAGCCAAACTGAAGCTTAATCTCACTCTATCTTTCTTTAAAAATTGTTTGCAGGAGAGGTCTGCTCACAATTTATATGGCCAACTTGGTAAGTAAATTTTTTTTTTTTTTACCTTTGAGGTTTTTCCATATGCTTAATCTTTTATTTTTAAATCATGTTTCTTTAGGAAAAGAAAGAAAAACAAGGAAGCCACTTGAATTTGAGGACAATTTTCTTTGTCTTAAAGGACAGATTGAAATTTTGAAAAGAGCTGTGATATACCATCTTATTTGTTCTTGTCCATATATAGGATTGAATTTCACTTATTTTAGAGGGAAAATCATTCATTGTCTCATGTCTTTGTAACTCTTTTTTCCTTTTTTTTTTAGTCAGAGTCTTATTGTTGCCCAGGCTGGAGTGCAATGGTGCAATCACAGCTCACCACAGCCTTGACCTCCTGGGCTCAGGCAATCCTTTTGCCTCTGTCTCCTGAGTAACTGGTACTACAGGCATGCACCACCATGCCTAGCTACTTTTTTGAATCTTTTGTAGAACTGAGGTTTGGCTATGTTTCCCAGGCTGGTCTCTAATTCCTGGGTTCAAGCAAGCTTCCTCTCAAAGTGCTAGGATTACAGTGGAAGCCCATGTGCCTGGCCTCTTTTTTTTTTTTCTTTAAACTTAGGTCTTCATCTTTGATAGTCTCTCCTGCTTTCTCTCTCTATATGTACATTATGTGCGTGTGTTTGTGTGTGTGTGTTCATGTGCGCATGCATGTTGAAGTTTATGTTCTGCCTCTGTTGCTGTTTCTTATGGACTATATAACTTAAGAGTGGTTTTTTATCATATATTTTTTCTTTTACATTAAAACTATCTACAAACACTCAGCATATTTAGTAATATAATTAACTAGACCTTGACATTTTTGCTTATAGAAATTAAGTTAATATTATCTGGTCTGATATTCTTTAAAGTAAATATATAATCTAGGTTATGTAAATGATACTGTCAAGTTAATATTTTAAAAACATATTTACATTAAAATCTTTTAAGGTTGTGTAATAGAATTGATTGGCAGCGTTAAAATCGTCAACTGAAAAGAGATAATTATTTACCTACGATTAGATTCTTGAATTCTGTAACAACAGTATATTTGAGAGTTATATTTAGCAATTCATTTCAATTATAAAATATTTTATTTTTACTCGATATTTTCCATATGGTATTGTGCTTGATGCTAGTAAGCAAGATAGAGATAGCTTTCGCATTTAAGGAGTTTACTGAATAATGGAGAAGTTACAGGAGAAATAGTAAGGTGTGACAAGGGCTGAAAGATGAAATATAGGAGCCTGCAGAAACCATCCTATCACCAAACTATCCTGGGTGGGAGGGATTGGGTCAGAAAAGATTGGTTTTAATTCTTTTGAGTAATAGATCTCTTTGAGAATATGATGACAGATATGGATATTTACAGAAAATTGCTCATATACAAAAAGATACTCAAGTTTTCATACAATTTCAGAGATTTCATGTACCACCAATTAAGAAAGACTAGACTATGCCATCAGGTAAGTTTTTTTTCTTTTTAAACTGCAGAAAACTAGGTGCTGTAAGCTCTTTTAATTGCAATGAGATGGGAATTTCAGGACATCAGGAGAGCAGAGCCTACTTAAAAGATTTACTTTTTGTGTTTATTCTTGAAAGAATTATTACTAGACTGTAAGCTCTTGAGCACCCAAAGAGACTAGAGATATGATAAGTATTTGTTGAATTAACAATAATCTTGCTGAGTATAGAATTCTACATTGACAATGATTTAACATTCTTTTATCTGTTCTCTGTTGATATTTTTTGGAATCTGTTGTCAGTCTGGTTTTACTTTTTAGGTAAGCTTTTTTTCTTAACTTTTAAAAATATTTTCTTTTGAAGAATTTATTTTTAGTGTGTTGGGTTCACTAGGAAGGAGACATATTTTTATTTAGTTTGATCGGGACTCAGTTTGCTTCTGCAGTCTGAGGACTAATGTTTAGTTCTGGAATTAAATTCTTTTCTATTCTTTCTTTGAATCTTGTTTTTCCTGTCTCTATGTTCTATTATTTCGGAACTCCTTTAGATGTATGTAAAACCTTTTTATTTTCCTCTTCATGTTTTCTTAAATGCTTTTAAATATTTTTCTATCTTTTCATCACTTTGTGGTGAATTCTAGTTATCTCTTTAGATCTGTCTTCAGGTTTAACTCAACTAGTTACCTGTTTTTAATGTGCTGTTTAACCTTTCACTAAAAGGTTTCAATTTTAAAAAGGTGATATATACCTTAAATAACATAAAATCTAGAAAAGTTACATAATATTTTTATTAAATAATCATTTAACACATTTCTGTAGTACTTTTTTCATTATTTTTTGGTAACACATTATTTATTCCTTTTTAAAAATTTTTTTTTTTGAGTTGGAGTCTTACTCTGTCACCCAGACAGGAGTGCAGTGGCCGCTCCTGGCCACCACAGCCTCGACCTGCTGGGCTCCGGCGATCCTTCCGTCTCAGCCTTCCAAGTAGCTGGAACTACAGGCGCGTGTTACCATGCCTGGCTAATTGTTTTTTATTTATTGTAGAGGTCTCGCCAAGTTGCCGAGGCGGGTCTCGAACCCGCTGGCTCAGGCAATCCACTCACCTCAGCCTCCCAAATGTGCGGGATTACAGGCTGAGCCACCGAGCCCAGCTTAAAAAAATTTTTAAAAATTTTAAACATGTGGGGTACAATTCAGGGTTAGGTATACAAATGTTCATTATGCAGGTACCCTTGTTGATGAGGTGTACTCCTCTCTTCCCCAGGCAGATTCCCACTACTGCCAATCTCGCTTTCCTGCTCCCCTCCTGGCAGTTTTGCACTACTGCCAATTCTTTTCTTATAGTATTAGGATAATTGTTCAAGGTGTGCTTATGTGTGGGAACATGTGATACTCTGTTCTTTATTTCTGTGAAATATCACTCAGTATTATAGACTAAGTCCATCCAGGTTGCTGTGAAGTTCATGATTTTGTTCTTTTTTTTTGAGTTGGAGTCTCACTCTGTCGCCCAAACTGGAGTGCAGTGGCCACTTCTGGCCACCACAGCCTCGAACTGCTGGGCTCCGGTGATCCTTCCGCCTCAGCCTTCCAAGTAGCTGGAATTACAGGCATGAGCTACCACACCAGCTGATTTTTTGATTTTTTGTAGAGATGAGGTCTCACTGCCCAGGCAGGTCTCGAAGCCCGGGCTCAGGCAATCCACTCACCTCAGCCTCCCAAAGGCGCGGGATTACAGGCTGAGCCACCGAGCCCGGCTTGTTCTTCTTTATGGCTACGTAATAGTCCATCATTTATATGTGACACATTTAAAAAAAATCCAGTCCTCTATTGATGGGCAGCATGGTTGGTTCCATGTTTTTGCTACTGCGTTAAAATTGATATTTTAATAATGCTGCGATAAACATGCATGTGCAGGTATCTTTTTTATGGAGTAATTTGAGTTCTTCCAGGTATATTCCCAGTAAGGGCATTGCAGGGTCATATGGAAAGTCGATTTTTAGATCTTTAAGGAATTGTCACACTGTATTCCACAGAGGCTGTACTAGTTTAAACTCCCACCAACAGTGTAGAAGTGTTCCCTTTCACCGCATCCTTTCTAGCAGCTGTAGTTTTTCAGTCATTCATGATAGCCATCCTGACTGGAGTTAGGTGGTATCTCAGTGTAGTTTTAATTTGCATTTCTTTGATAACTAGTAAGGCTGAGCATCTTTTCATTTATCTGTTGGCTGTTTGCATGTCCTCCCCTGAACTGTCTATTCATATCTTTTGCCCACTTTGTAATGGAGCTGTTTGTTTTTTTCTTTTCAGCATGTTTGAGTTCCTTGTGGATCCTAGATGTTAGGCCTTTGTCAGTCATACAGCTGGCAAATATTTTTTCCCAGTCTGTGGGCTGTCTCCCTGCTCTGTTGATGGCTTCTTTGGCTTTGCAGAAGCTTGTCAGTTTGATGAAGTCCCACTTGTCTATCTTATCTCTCAGGGCATGGGCACTTAGAGTTTTGATCAGAAATTGTTTGCCAGTTCCAATTTCCGTAAGGGTATCTCCTGCATTTTCTAAGGTTCTTATAGTTTGAGGTTTTACATTTAGGACTTTGATCCGTTTAGAGTTGATTTTTGTGTATGGTGGTAGGTAAGAATCTTGTTTTAATCTTCTGTGTGTAGTCAGCCAGTTTTCCCGGCACCATTTACTGAATAGGTTCTCCTCTCCCCAGTTGTTGGTGGTGGAGGCTTTGTCAAAGATGAGTTGGTTGAGAAATTGAGGTTTTGCTTCTGGAATCTCTATACTGTTCCATTGGTCGATATGCCTGTTCTTGTACCAATACTAGGCTGTTTTGATTATTGTAGCTTTATAATAGAGTTTAAAGTCTGGGAGTGTGATATCTCCTGCTCTGCTTTTTTTGCTGAGGATTGTTTTGGTGATTTGTGGTCGTTTATGTTTCCATATGAATTCCTGTATTGTCTTTTCCAGGTTTGAGAAGAATGCTGCTGGCAATTTAATGGGTATTGCATTAAATCTGTAGATGGCCTTGGGTAGGATGGACATCTTGACAATGTTGATTCTTCCAAGCCATGAGCATGGTATATTTTTTCATTTGTTTGTGTCATCTTTGATTTCTTTGAACGATGTTTTGTAGTTTTTATTGTAAAGGGCTTTCATGTCTCTGGTTAGGAAGATGCCAAGGTATTTGATTTTTTTCCTGGCTATTGTGAAGGGATTGTGCTTTTTGTTTAGGTTTCTGTTTGTTTGTTGTTGGTATATAGGAATGTGACTGACTTTTGTGCATTTATTTTATACCCTGAAACTTTGCCAAAGGCCTTTATCAGTGCAAAGAGGTTTTTGACAGATTCTCTTAGGTTTTTGAGGTATAGAATCATGTCATCTGCAAAGAGGAATAACTTAACATCCTCTTTTCCTGTTTGGATACTGCTGATCTCCTTTTGTTGTCTGATTGCTCTAGCTAGGGCTTCTAAAACTATGTTGAAAAGGAGGAGTGAGAGTGGGCTTCCTTGTCTTGTTCTGGTTTTCAGGGGGAATGGTTCCAATTT